GAATGTTTGAGTTGAGTACAAGTCCTGCCAAAACAGTGTCCCAGTACTCTGTGATGAAATGCACAGATAAAGAACACATTGTGTGAAATTGTGTTAACTTACGAAGAAATGGTAGAATATCTTAGAAATGTATGGTATCTGGTAATGGATCGGACTGTGGGTGATGGATCTGTGGGTTGCTCGTGTGTAGGTATTACCCTGATTTACAGCAGTTATACAGCTCCATCAGTGTCAGAGTCGAAACCATCAGTTCTGATGCCATCATATCATACGTCAGTTTCAAAAAGATGCGTCATTGATCCAGGTTTAGTCTATTATACATATTGAGAACAATTGCACATAATGGTCTTAATGACACATACTCATCACTACAACCTTGAACAACTAAACTCATAATTGACCCTGAGGAGAGTGTTTAAGATTGAAAGCTTGTCTTTCTGTACTGTGCAAAGAGTTTTCTTATTGTTACATGGCAAAACATATATCACCCTGATCTTAACAGGATCCATGATTATAAGTTAAGACGGCTATAAAAAGACAGGGTTTAAAGAACAGTTCCATATATAAAAAGAACACCAATATACCTCCGGCACACACACAGGTACACACTCAGGTATTAGTCAGGTGGCATAGGACCAGTTTGAAGGTAACCTGAAGAAAAAACTGTGAAATCCTCATTATGTATTGATTGTATTATTAGATTTTATTATATAATACAGGCTATTTCCGTGCAATATTGCCATTCAATAAAAACGATATAGCACACGTACAATAAGCATGCAAATGAGTCTTGTCACCGTGGAAAACAGGTCATATTCATACGCACTACAACTTCTACATTTGTAAACCAAATGACTGACCGAGTTACTGTTTGCATTGATAGCAGAGGCAGGGGCACTGGGAGAATAAAATTAACAAACGAGTTTAATAAATTCAATATTATATAAACACGAGTGTTAGCTTCACACAAATTCAACACCTGCATGTTCAAATTCCACTTGAACTTCCCCCACATACACACAATCAATGGCGAACACGTGTAACCGGTCAACTTCATCAGTGTTCCAGTTTCATGGCGGATTACACAATATATTTTCTGGCTCAGTGACAGGCGGAAACATCAAGGTTCACATTCACCAACAACCCTCGCCAAAGAAATGCGCCTGTGTTATAGAGAGTGACAATCACTCCAGTCTCTGTAAACTTTTAAAAAGTGCAGACTTCGATGTGTATTGTGATGACCTTTACTTTGAGATTGCACGCGCAGTTGCGCCAAATATATGACGTCACTGCTATTTTCGTAAACGCCAATTCGTTGAATGGTTTTCGTATAAAACATTATTGTTAATGTTGTTATGATAATTATTAAAACATTGGTTGATGAAGAAAACCTAAATGATTGTTTGTTCATTAAAAAGGTTCTTGGGAAGAAGTTTCTGAAACTGTTTTTTGTGGCGTAGCGAGCTCCAAACAAAATGCATGTAATGCGTCCTTTCGTCAGCCATCAGTACAAATTATATAGAGGAGACGTGTCAAGAAAAAGATTGTTTCTCAAATTATATAATAAATAGAATACGATTGTTAGATTAAAAGTTTAAAAGTATACATTAAACTTGTTCAATAAATTCAATATTACATTTAACTTGTTCAATAAATTCAATATTGCATGAACACGAGTGTCAGATCCTCTATATATTACATGTATATCTCTGTTTTGTAAGGTACCGAAAAGTGGCTTAAAAAAGATTGAGATGGTGCTATATGTCATATAATAATGATTATATACATTTTAACATAGGACCCCCTATTGCCTAAAGAGCGGAGCTTGCTCAGTACCAGGTAACAGGGCCTAATGCAATTAAAATTGATTCCTAATCTAGAAAGGGGCTTTCATTAAATGATACCATCCCTGGTTATAAATATTCAAAAGACTTTTCAATAATTCCGCTAATCCTAGCAAGCTGCCAACACACAGTGGGGGCATTGGTAATGAGCTTCGGTAGCGTTTCACTCACTATGGTAAGGTATCTATACCAGCTAGCTAGTAAGGTAGCGTTTCACTCACTATGGTAAGGTATCTATATACCGGCTAGCTATTAAGGTGGTAGCGTTTCACTCACTATGGTAAGGTATCTATTCCAGCTATTAAGGTGGTAGCGTTTCAATCACTATGGTAAGGTATCTATTCCAGCTATTAAGGTGGTAGCGTTTCACTCACTAGGGTAAGGTATCTATACCAGCTAGCTAGTAAGGTAGCGTTTCCCTCACTATGGTAACGTATCTATACCAGCCGGCTAGTAAGGTAGCATTTCACTCACTATGGTAAGGTATCTATTCCAGCTATTAAGGTGGTAGCGTTTCAATCACTATGGTAAGGTATCTATTCCAGCTATTAAGGTGGTAGCGTTTCACTCACAATGGTAAGGTATCTATTCCAGCTAGCCAGTAAGGTAGCGTTTCACTTACTATGGTAAGGTATCTATACCAGCTAGCCAGTAAGGTAGCGTTTCACTCACTATGGTAAGGTATCTATTCCATCTAGCTATTAAGGTGGTAGCGTTTCACTCACTATGGTAAGGTATCTATTCCAGCTATTAAGGTGGTAGCGTTTCCCTCACTATGGTAAGGTATCTATTCCAGCTAGCCAGTAAGGGAGCGTTTCACTTACTATGGTAAGGTATCTATACCAGCTAGCCAATAAGGTAGCGTTTCACTCACTATGGTAAGGTATCTATTCCAGCTAGCTATTAAGGTTGTAGCGTTTCACTCACTATGGTAAGGTATCTATACCACCTAGCTAGTAAGGTAGCGTTTCACTCACTATGGTAAGGTATCTATTCCAGCTAGCCAGTAAGGTAGGGTTTCACTCCCTATGGTAAGGTATCTATACCAGCTAGCCAGTAAGGTAGCGTTTCACTCACTATGGTAAGTTATCTATTCCAGCTAGCCAGTAAGGTAGCGATTCACTCACTATGGTAAGGTATCTATTCCAGCTAGCCAGTAAGGTAGGGTTTCACTCACTATGGTAAGGTATCTATACCAGCTAGCCAGTAAGGTAGCGTTTCACTCACTATTGTAAGGTATCTATTCCAGCTAGCTAGTAAGGTAGTGTTTCACTCACTATGGTAAGGTATCTATACCAGCTAGCTAGTAACTGTTGCAGTCGTCTATATTCATTTGTATTGTTGAAATGCCTTCAATTAGTCAAGTAGTTTGTTTGTTCACAGGTGCTGGTTTCTTTATCCTTTTATCGATTATAAAGAAAGTATATGTAATGTTGTGTAGGCATTGGATGCCTCTTAGTTGCAATACCTTTTTGACGTAAGTTCTTACACAGAATTCCTAGTGTACAAGACAGTGAGAACTTTACCGTGAACGCTGCCTATTTTAGTGCGTATGGCTTTCGAACTATTTATGCAGTGATTATGAATGGTTTGTTATTGCTAAAATGTCACCAGTTACATAATACTAATTATATTTATAACAGAAATCGAATCACTCTGGGCTTTGCCAAGTTGCTTGCTCCAAGTGACTCTTAAGTTCCCAAGCCGATGCTGCACTTTATTGGAATCTTTGTATTATATTTCTGACATTGAGTTTGGTTGATCTGGGACATCTCCTGCTCCCAGTAACAAGTTTTTTCTCTAGTGCTTCAAAGACTTTACCAACCTAATACAATGTATCAATATTATCTTTAAAACGTACAATTTCACTTCATCAGTATTTAACGTTCTCTCCGACCATTTAACTGTTAAGTTTGTAGTAGTATATCCCCACCAGCTTCCTTCCAAGATCAATATGTCACATGGATTTAAGTATTTAAGGAACTGTGCCCTGTTAAGGGTCTTGTATTGAGTTATATCGAACGAATTGAGGTAAACCTGCAGTAGTTTTTTGCTTCTATTGGTAGACAGGTGTTTGCTTCTATTGGCAGACAGGTATTGGCAGATAGCTATAGGTGTTTGCTTCTATTGGCAGACAGGTGCTTGTTTCTACTGGCAGACAGGTGTTTGCTTCTATTGGCAGATAGGTGTCTGCTTCTATTTGCAGACAGGTATTGCTTCTATTGGCAGACAGGTGTTTGCTTCTATTGGCAGACAGGTGTTTGCTTCTATTGGCAGACAGGTGTTTGCTTCTATTGGCAGACAGGTGTTTGCTTCTATTGGCAGACAGGTGTTTGCTTCTATTGGCAGACAGGTGTTTGCTTCTATTGGCAGACAGGTGTTTGCTTCTATTGGCAGACAGGTGTTTGCTTCTATTGGCAGACAGGTGTTTGCTTCTATTGGCAGACAGGTGTTTGCTTCTATTGGCAGACAGGTGTTTGCTTCTATTGGCAGACAGGTGTTTGCTTCTATTGGCAGACAGGTGTTTGCTTCTATTGGCAGACAGGTGTTTGCTTCTATTGGCAGACAGGTGTTTGCTTCTTGTGGCAGACAGGTGTTTGCTTCTATTGGCAGACAGGTGTTGCTTCTATTGGCAAACAGATATGAACACCTAACTTGGTAGATTAAAACACTAATGAGATAATTGACGTAGAGTATAGAAGTTTATTTCTGATTCACCTCCATGTTGCTATCGACAACCTATCTTATTTGTAGAATTATTTCAACGTAAAATATTGCTCTGTGTCGTCCCAGCAGTGAGTGTTGAGGATGACAGCTCTTACAAGCTTTATATGGCACAGATCACATCCTAGTTATCAATATCAGGAATAGAGCAAGTTGACATGACAGGCAAGGCCGCACACCAGCAGTGTCATGTCAGGGAAACGTAACTCTATTACCATTGTCTAACATTTAACAAGAAAACATCCCTATGGAATCACCTTCCTGTCTTCATTAAACGCAGGTGATACATTTCATAACTACTTTTTCAACTTTTACGCGAACCAAGAAAATTCTTAAAAACTTAAGAAGCATTTTACAATTAAATGTGTTTTGCAGATATTGATGATATGGATTCAAGTGATTAATCAAGGACATCATTTTTTCTTGTTTCAGAACTTCCTTGACGCTTTCACTGATGCTGCTGAAACGGTCTACGGCTGTTTATTGGTGGAGGGCAAGGTTTCCGTAGCAACTAAAAAATGGTGGAGTCTCACAGCTAATGAACTTGTCCTGCTGCGTATGTTGGTCACATCACTGTCGGACTGTACGTCACGGGATCTACCTGTGTACCTACCCGACAGTCACCCAACAGTAAGTCTTACATACTGGTCAAGGTAAGAGTAGATCATTATATGGTATATGTCATACAACTTGGATGATAAATGACAACTTGTTATTGGATGGTAAATAATGTCATGTAATTTGGTGGTAAAATGTGTCATGTAATTTGATGGTAAATAATGTCATGTTATTGGATTGTCAATAATGCCATGTAATTGGATGGTAAATAATGTCATGTGATTGCATAGTAAATAATGCCATGTAATTGGATGGTTAATAATGTCATGTAATTGCATAGTAAATAATGTCATGTAATTGGATGGTTAATAATGTCATGTGATTTGGTAATAAACAATGTCATGTAATTAACAGGTGAAAAATGTCATGTAATTTGATGGTCAATAACACCATGTAATTGGATGGTCAATAATCTCATGTAAGTTAGAGGTAAATAATTTCATGTGATTTGGTATTAAACACTGTCATGTAATTTAAAGGTAACTAATATGTAATTGGATGGTAAATAAGATCATGTCATTTAGTATTAAACAATGTCATGTAATTTGGTGATACATCATGTCATGTTATTTAGTGGTATATAATGTCATGTAACTGGATAGTAAAGGATGCCATGTAATTTGGTGATACATAATGTCATGTTATTTAGTGGTATATCATGTCATGTAACTGGATAGTAAATGATGTCATGTAATTTGGTGATACCTAATGTCATGTTATTTTGTGGTATATAATGTCATGTAACTGGATAGTAAATGATGCCATGTTATATGGTGATACATAATGTCATGTTATTAAGTGGTATATCATGTCATGTAACTGGATAGTAAATGATGTCATGTAATTTGGTGATACCTAATGTCATGTTATTTTGTGGTATATAATGTCATGTAACTGGATAGTAAATGATGTCATGTAATTTGGTGGTAAAAGATCAGTGTTGTATGGATTGTTGTTGTTGTAGGTTCCACACCGCCTGATGACGTTTCACCTGACTAAGTGTGTACAGGTGTGTGTTATCTGTGGCCCTAATCCTGCCCTTGCTGAACTGGAGCCTGAGGTGTGTAAACCTATAGGCCTTGCTAAAAGAAAGTCTGGAATATTGTGGTTTTACCCCATTTTCTCTGAAGGGCCAAGTGAACTTATACGATCTCACTGTGTCTGTCATCAGCTCACCTGTCAGAAGGGCAAATGACCTTATACTTTCGCACAGGTCGGTCAATAGCCAATAGGTTGCTGGGATAGCAGTTTACCGAAATTTGTTTAAATGATTCACTTTCAAGGTCATGGGGTAAATTGTCTTATATCCTTTAAACAACTTTTTCTGAATAATCAAAAGCTCTAGGATCATAATATTTGCCCAATAGTATGCTGAAGCAGAGGATTGCCATTTTGCACAATGAATGACCTTGAGCAACTTTCAAGTGACAAGTGTGTTCAAATATCATTATCTACGAACTACTTCTGAATGAAAATAAACCGAAAGGTTTAGGTTAAATATAATTGATGTATATGATGCCTTTATTAAGGACTATCAAGTTGTTCAATTAAATTACCTTAACCATTTTTGGAAGGGCATAAAGAGATGAATGCATCCATTGCTGGGAATGAAGACATGCATGCTACCAGGATTGGCTCTGGCATCCAGCCTCACCTCTTGGTTCTTATATTAATTTCCTGGATCATCACATTGAAAATGGTTGAGATTCCTGCTCAATGACCATTTCTTAAACTGCTGAAATTTAAAAATGGAAAACACAATCATTTAACCAGAATTAACCCTGAGGTTCAACCTCAAACCTCTTGGAACTTTTGTGGGTCAGTAACATGGAAACAGTAGAGATCTTCACCCTAAAACCATCCTCCAGTGGGAGTATACAAACCATAATGTTGATGTAAAAGGTACATTTCACAGAAACTGTTCCGTGGCTAAGCTCAATCTAGTCCGCAAACAGGTAACCTAGCTTATACATAGTAACAGTCCAGCTGGGTGCTGCAGGTCCTCTGGACCTCTTGTTTATTAACAAGATATCGGTTGTTCCAGTAATCGTTTTTTGTAAGAATATGAATACGCAATATATAAAGGATATGTGATGTATGCCAGTAGTAAAGGATATGTGATGTATGCTAGTAGTAAGGGATATGTGATGGATGCCAGTAGTAAAGGATATGTGATGTATGCTAGTAGTAAGGGATATGTGATGCATGCCAGTAGTAAAGGATATGTGATGTATGCTAGTAGTAAGGGATATGTGATGCATGCCAGTAGTAAAGGATATGTGATGTATGCCAGTAGTTAGGGATATGTGATGTATGCCAGTAGTAAGGGTATGTGATGTATGCTAGTAGTAAGGGATATGTGATGGATGCCAGTAGTAAAGGATATGTGATGTATGCTAGTAGTTAAGGATATGTGATGTATGCCAGTAGTAAGGGAGATGTGATGTATGCCAGTAGTAAGGGATATGTGATGCATGCCAGTAGTAAAGGATATGTGATGTATGCCAGTAGTAAATGATATGTGATGTATGCCAGTAGTAAGGGATATGTGATGCATGCCAGTAGTAAAGGATATGTGATGTATGCTAGTAGTTAAGGATATGTGATGTATGCCAGTAGTAAGGATATGGGATGTATGCCAGTAGTAAGGGATATGTGATGTATGCCAGTAGTAAGGTTATGTGATGTATGCCAGTAGTAAAGGATATGTGATGTATGCCAGTAGTAAAGGATATGTGATGTATGCCAGTAGTAAAGGATATGTGATGTATGCCAGTAGTAAAGGATATGTGATGTATGCCAGTAGTAAAGGATATGTGATGTATGCCAGTAGTAAAGGATATGTGATGTATGCCAGTAGTAAAGGATATGTGATGTATGCCAGTAGTAAAGGATATGTGATGTATGCCAGTAGTAAGGGATATGTGATGTATGCCAGTAGTAAGGGATATGTGATGTATGCCAGTAGTAAAGGATATGTGATGTATGCCAGTAGTAAAGGATATGTGATGTATGCCAGTAGTAAAGGATATGTGATGTATGCCAGTAGTAAAGGATATGTGATGTATGCCAGTAGTAAAGGATATGTGATGTATGCCAGTAGTAAAGGATATGTGATGTATGCCAGTAGTAAGGATATGTGATGTATGCCAGTAGTAAAGGATATGTGATGTATGCTAGTAGTTAAGGATATGTGATGTATGCCAGTAGAAAGGATATGTGATGTATGCCAGTAGTAAAGGATATGTGATGTATGCCAGTAGTGAGGATTTGCCAGTAAGTCATGATTATGAGATAGGCCTGGGTCAAATCTATAGTTCTCACAGACGTCAATCTGTGTAGAAGTTCATAGCTTTATATAACAGTTCATATTTTACTTCTGAATACTCCATCAAGGCAGTGATGATGTATGAATGTCGTAATGGTACCAGTACACATGTCCTTTCTAAGGGATCTTTCGAGAGATATAAATTCTCTAGTAGCCACTGGGGCCAATTATACCATGAGGTAGATCAATGTCACTGACACCGTTGGATTGGCTCTTTGTGACAATATGATTGTAGTAGATAATAAATTGGGAGTGTGTGTTTGTTCTATAAAACTCATCCCAAATGATGCATATAATTTATACTCAAATCATATAGCAAAAAAAATGATTTAATTTTCACTTTCATTGGGTAAAATTTCAATTAAAAGTGGATTATTTTCAATGACATTTAAATTCAAGTATATGTTTGAATGAATGTAACCTGTGAAGCTATTTTTTGTATTCATACCTGTCGCTTTACGATCCGACGAAATGGAAGCTATAATTGTGTTTATGTATACTGGGAATGTGTTTTTCTACGTTTCAGTGACAACACTGTTGAGTTTTTGTTAGACTCTGAATTCTGTTGAAGGTTTACACAGCTATCATAGTATCAACACTGTTGAGTTTTTATCAGATGCCAAAATGACATCGACTGGCTACAGTGTTTAGTCATTCACCGATGTAAATGCCTAATTTTTGAGAACTTTTGTGATTCTTTCTACGATTACATATTTACAAGGTTTTAAATTTAAAATAGGAACGCAAATTAAAGCAAAAAACAAAAAACGTATCTTTCAAAATATAATTGATTTACTGTATAAAAGTTCACTTTCACAACATGATCAAAGTAAAGACCTCAATTCTGTAAATAAAAAATATCAATCATAAAATAAAGTGAAATAAAAATTGTATAAATGAAGGATAAAGTCTACACCCCCTGGGGCGGGAGGGGTAGGGCCCATAATAAGAAATGGAAAACAGGTTGATCTTTCTTCGACATCTCCATCAGTACAGATTAAGGGAATTCTTCCAATCTGGTATGAGCATCCCTAGGCCAAGCAAAACAGAATTCAGTAATTTGGCATTGAACATCCTTAGACAAGGGTTATTCAACATTACATAAATGAAGGATGTGGGCTCCAGGTGGACAGAAGGGTGGTACCACAAAAGGAAATAGGGGCTATTTTGAATTAATTGTATGACCCCTTGGGTCAGAGGGGCAGGGTCCAAATATCAAAAAATATTTCTTCCCAAAAACAAATGAAGGCATTTTGATCTTATATGGCTTGGAACATTTCTGGGCCTAGGAAATTGAATGTTTAATAAATGAAGTGTGTGACACTGTGGGGACAGATGAGTGCATGGGGCTTGAAATAGGAAATAATTGGTTTACTCCTTAAGGAGAGCTTGAAGGAGTTTTACCTAATTTGTGATAGAGCACCCCTGTGCAAAACAATTAATCTTTGTTTAATTGAATACTGTAGCTCCAAGAGGGGTTATAATTAATCTTCAATAGACTTTTTAGCCCACCATCATATACTGGTGGGCTATTCAAATCACCCTGCGTCCGTCGTCTGTCATCCGTCCTTAAACAATTCTTGTTATCGCTATTTCTCGGGAAGTAAGATCTTTCTGAAATTTTTAGGTCACCTGAGACAAAGTGTCAAGTGACCTATTGCGATCGCCTTTTGTCCGGCAGCATCCGCCTTCCGTAAACAATTTACATTTACAACTTCTTCTACAAAACCCCTGAACCAATTTCAATGAAATTTTGCAGAAACCTTCCATGGCCAAAGGTCAACAAAACTAGTGGCTGATTTGGTTCCCAGCCCCCAGGGGCCTGAGGGGCGGGGCCATAAAGGGTAAAATTGACTAAAATTTCAAAAATCTTCTTCTCAAGACCCAGATATGGTAGAATCAAATACTTTTCATAGATGGAAGGGTCTTAAGGTGCTTTACCAAAATTGTGAATTTCTTGAACCTGGGTTCTCGCGTTTCCCCCTGGGGAGGGGGTAAACTTTACAATAGTTTATATAGGGAAATCACATTTCGGACTAACATTTGTTTAATTGGCATTGGAAGTAATTCAATTTAGGTTAGCATTATCAGTATTAGGTAGCAGTTTGCTAGTATGCACATATCAGCCCTGACTGGCCCCCAGGGGCTGAGGGGTGGGGCCAAAAAGGGTTAAATTGACTGAAATTTCAAATATCTTCTTCTCAAGACCCAGATATGGTAGAATAAAATACTCTTCATAGATGGAAGGGGTCTGAAGGTGCTTTACTAAAATTGTGAATTTCATGACCCTGGGTTCTCACGTTTCCCCCTGGGGAGGGGTAAACTTTATTATAATAGTTTATATAATGGAAGTCAGAAAGTTGAACAGGTGAACACGTTTATTCTGGCTAATTGGTGCTGTTAGGATATCTGACGGATTGTTAGGCTCTGTCATGTAATGTTACAAACAAGGACAAATACCAGCTTTGTTTCAATGTTTGTCGGGTTTCCAGGATTGCTTCATAACTCAAATGTTTATCGTTTGTTGAATTCATTTAATTGTTGACTAAAATTGATTAATGTTTCAGATGTCACTTAATCGAGAAATTTTCCTGAACTTGATAACTCAGGTCAATGATCAAGTCACACAAGAATTGGTTGAAATATTACGTAATCTTCTTCACAATTTTACAGAACATGTGTATCTTCTATCAACTCGTTCAATACCTATTTATAGTAGATGATGCATTGTAACACTTTCTCATATTTTAAATTTGATGAATGGTTAATTAATTTGATTTAATTAGATTAAGCTTAAAAATGGTTACCAATGTAAACTGATGCAAGGAAAAGATTGCATATTTATAAAGTTACTTTTGTCTTAGTTTCTTCTCAGTTCCTGGTGTTTTCGTTTGTCTTAGTTCCTCCTCAGTTCCTGATGTTTTCTTTTGTCTTAATTTCTCCTCAGTTCCTGGTGTTTTCTTTTGTCTTAGTTTCTCCCCAGTTCCTGGTGTTTTCTTTTGTCTTAGTTTCTCCTCAGTTCCTGATGTTTTCTTTTGTCTTAGTTTCTACTTAGTTCCTGATGCTTTCTTTTGTCTTAATTTCTCCTCATTTCCTGGTGTTTTAATTTCTCCTCAGTTCCTGATGCTTTCTTTTGTCTTAATTTCTCCTCAGTTACTGGTGTTTTCTTTCGTCTTAGTTTCTCCTCAGCTACTGGTGTTTTCTTTCTACTTAGTTTCTCCTCAGTTACTGGTGTTTTCTTTCTACATAGTTTCTCCTCAGTTACTGGTGTTTTCTTACTACTTAGTTTCTCCTCAGTTACTGGTGTTTTCTTTCGTCTTAATTTCTCCTCAGTTACTGGTGTTTTCTTTCTACTTAGTTTCTCCTCAGTTACTGGTGTTTTCTTTCTACTTAGTTTCTCCTCAGTTACTTGTGTTTTCTTTTGTCTTAGTTTCTCCTCAGTTACTGGTGTTTTCTTTCTACTTAGTTTCTCCTCAGTTACTGATGTTTTCTTTCATCTTAGTTTCTCCTCAGTTACTGGTGTTTTCTTTTGTCTTAATTTTTTTCCTCAGTTCCTGATGTTTTCGTTTGTCTAATTTTCTTCTCGGTTCCTGGTTTTGAATTACAAAAAGGAATATCATTAATCTTAACCTGTTCATCTTCAAACAACTGTTTTGCTGTATATGTGTATTTTATAACCATTTTCAAACAGGTTGTCAGATTCTGGAAAACCGCCTATGATCCTTTGATATCTGTGTGTAGACTTCATCCCAGGAACTTCCCCATCACAATAACACTGGATCCAAACATCCTGGGGTAAGTAGGACTCAAATAGCAAAACTTCATACCAGCTCTGGGGACTTGATCATGTATCATTTATCAGCAATATTTGTCATTTCATATTGTAAATACAATGTGCAAGATATATATGACTGATATATTAACATATACATCCCAAAGAGGCTATAGGTTTTATCCCTGCCTGTCTGTAGTTTATTGTTTTTGACATCAACATGTGAAATAATCTCACTGTGGTGATACATTTTTATTTACGTTTGTGCTATGGGAGAAACAGAATATTCAACTCTTGATGATCAGTTACGATTTATACCCATTTCCCTGAGTTAATGTTTCAAGTAGGGATGACATATTGTATATATAATGTATTAGTTTATACAATGTAAAATACATTGTACAAATGACAATGACAAATTATGTATACATTATACAAATAGCAATATGCCATACAGTATACAGAATGTATAGGTGATTGTATATTTCAATATGGTTACTAGCTATTCTTGGAAAACACCAATGTCATATTTTTGCATGTAAACTTAGGTCATCAAACCATGATAAAATATGAAGTCACACACTTCCAGAATGTACTATGATGTCACAATGAGGACAATATAGCTACATTCAAAGATGGAGGAATTTTAAACTTCTAGAATGACTAGAGAAACAAACGTTTCTTTTCGCCAAAAAATGCTTGTTTGTGTGATAAAAAGTATCTTAAATTTGATTCCTTTTCATAAGAAATTGATGAGACTTGTCACAAATTTTTCTTTTAACATCACCAGAGGCTCAGTGAAATGAAATACAAATCAGTATGTAGCCTGTCATATACCGTCATTACTATAATATACAGCCTCTGCTATCAGGGTGTACACTAGTTGTATATACCGGTAAGGCAGGTCACATCATATGCCCACGCCTTGTATAACTAGAAAAAATGGAAATAAATTATGTGAACCCTCATCCCCCACCTAGCCATTCCCCAGTTTTATAGCTACATTTGAATGACCAAACACAAGACAGTTTGGTGTTTTTCTGTCGAGTACAGTTAAGTGCAGTCGACTCATTGTCCCTGGAGACATGTCTCTATAAGTCTGTCTGTACATCTACCTGCATAGTTCTCCCTGACACAGCACCGTCAAAGCTGACAACAGTAGTCTATAGGGAGCAATATCTGACGTCGCCAAGAAGGCGAAGAGACTGGGGTTACAGGTATCAGATATTTATATTTATATTTATGTGATGGGATGTTTAGGCCTCACCTAGGGGTTTACATATAAATAAATGCCATTAAGAAGGCTCTTTTGGAAGACTTTTGGAAGATTTTAATTTTTGAGATGAGGGGAAATATAGGAAGTAGAAACTATAGAATTCTATAGCGAGGGAAACTTCACCTATTGAGCACCCAGGACAATTGTGGACGACGCCTGTAGAAGTTCACTTGGTGTGGACTGAAGAAGACCAATCAGTAAAGCCATATACAGTTATAAGAATAAAGGGATTAAGCTAGTAGACTGGTGAATGAGGAAGATTAGAGGATGTGGGGTGTGGGCTGGGGGCTACTAAAGAAGATTTTGGGGTTGGGGTTGAGGACTGCTGTAGAAGATTTGGGGGTTGCTAAAGAAGATTCTGGGGGGTAGGGTAGGAAGCAGATTAAGAAGATTTGGGGGTGCTGGCTGTTGGGTGGAGGCGACTAAAGAAGATTTAGGGATGCGGGTTGTGGGAAGCTAGAGAAGATTTTAGGGTGCGGGGTAGGGCGTAGGGGCTGAGGAAGATTGAGGGTGGCTGAGGAGGTTGTGAGGTTGTAGGCTGAGGACGATAGTGATGGTTGGCAGAGAATAGTCATGTAGATCAGATAAAGTTGGGGAAGATGATGTATTGAAGGAAATACATTCAAGTTAAAGTTATCTAATATTAAGAGAAGACCAGCTTGTTAGCTGCAATATTGTATTTTCCTATATCCATTCTGTTTCATTTTACTTTGCAGATTTTTGGTAGTAAACAGAGACACCAACAGATGCTTATGTAGTACAAGTCCTTCTCTGGAAGACAGGTCTACACTAGGTAAGTCATAAGGACAGGTCTACACTAGGTAAGTCATAAGGACAGGTCTACACCAGGTAAGTCATGAAGACAGGTCCACACTAGGTAAGTCATAAGGACAGGTCTACACCAGGTAAGTCATGAAGACAGGTCCACACTAGGTAAGTCATGAAGACAGGTCTACACCAGGTAAGTCATGAGGACAGGTCTACATTAGGTAAGTCATGAGGACAGGTCTACATTAGGTAAGTCATGAGGATAGGTCTACACCAGGTAAGTCATGAGGACAGGTCTGCACCAGGTAAGTCATGAGGACAGGTCCACACTAGGTAAGTCATGAGGACAGGCCTACACAAGGTAAGTCATGAGGACAGGTCTACACCACGTAAGTCATGAGGACAGGTCTACATTAGGTAAGTCATGAGGATAGGTCTACACCAGGTAAGTCATGAGGACAGGTCTGCACCAGGTAAGTCATGAGGACAGGTCTGCACCAGGTAAGTCATGAGGACAGGTCTGCACCAGGTAAGTCATGAGGACAGGTCTGCACCAGGTAAGTCATGAGGACAGGTCCGCACTAGGTAAGTCATGAAGACAGGTCCACACTAGGTAAGTCATGAAGACAGGTCTACACTAGGTAAGTCATGAAGACAGGTCTACACTAGGTAAGTCATGATGTCAGGTCTACACAAGGTAAGTCATGAGGACAGGTCTACACTTGGTAAGTCATGAGGACAGGTCTTCACTAGGTAAGTCATGAGGACAGGTCTTCACTAGGTAAGTCATGAGGACAGGTCTAAACCAGGTAAGTCATGAGGACAGGTCTATACTAAGTACCGTAAGTCAGTAGGACAGGTCCACACTAGGTAAGTCATTAGGACAGGTCTACACTAGGTAAGTCATGAGTACAGGTCTACACTAGGTAAGTCATGAGTACAGGTCTACACTAGGTAAGTCATGAGTACAGGTCTACACTAGGTAAGTCATGAGGGCAGGCCTACACTAGGTAAGTCATGAGGACAGGTCTACACCAGGTAAGTCATAAGGACAGGTCCACACTAGGTAAGTCATAAGGACAGGTCCACACTAGGTAAGTCATGAGGACAGGTCTACACTAGGTAAGTCATAGGGACAGGTCTACACTAGGTAAGTCATAGGGACAGGTCTACACTAGGTAAGTCATAAGGACAGGTCCTCACTAGGTAAGTCATGAGGACAGGAGGTCTACGCTAGGTAAGTCATGAGGACAGGTATACACCAGGTAAGTCATAAGGACAGGTCTACACTAGGAAAGTCATAAGGACAGGTCTACACTAGGTAATTCATGAGGACAGGTCTACACTTGGTAAGTCATGAAGACAGGTCCACACTAGGTAAATCATAAGGACAGGTCCACACTAGGGAAGTCATGAGGACAGGTCTACACTAGGAAAGTCATAAGGACAGGTCTACACTAGGAAAGTCATAAGGACAGGTCTACACCAGGTAAGTCATAAGGACAGGTCCTCACTAGGTAAGTCATGAGGACAGGAGGTCTACGCTAGGTAAGTCATGAGGACAGGTATACACCAGGTAAGTCATAAGGACAGGTCCTCACTAGGTAAGTCATGAGGACAGGAGGTCTACGCTAGGTAAGTCATGAGGACAGGTCCACTCTAGGTAAGTCATGAGGACAGGTATACACCAGGTAAGTCATAAGGACAGGTCTACATTAGGAAAGCCATGAGGACAGGTCTACACTAGGGAAGTCATGAGGACAGGTCTACACTAGGAAAGTCATAAGGACAGGTCTACACCAGGTAAGTCATAAGGACAGGTCTACATTAGGAAAGCCATGAGGACAGGTCTACACCAGGTAAGTCATGAGGACAGGTCCACACTAGGTAAATCATAAGGACAGGTCCACACTAGGTAAGTCATAAGGACAGGTCTACACTAGGTAATTCATGAGGACAGGTCTACACTAGGTAAGTCATGAGGACAGGTCTATACTAAGTACCATAAGTCAGTAAGACAGGTCTACACTAGGTAAGTCATGAGGACAGGTCTACACTAGGTAAGTCAGTAGGACAGGTCTACACTAGGTAAGTCATGAGGACAGGTCTATACTAAGTACCATAAGTCAGTAAGACAGGTCTACACTAGGTAATTCATGAGGACAGGTCTACACTTGGTAAGTCATGAGGACAGGTCTACACTGGGTAAGTCATGAGGACAGGTCTTCACTAGGTAAGTCATGAGGACAGGTCTACACTAGGTAAGTCATGAGGACAGGTCTACACTAGGTAAGTCATGAGGACAGGTCTACACCAGGTAAGTCATGAGGACAGGTCCACATTAAAATGAATAACATAAATACAATGATACTTTGCTTTTGACAGGAGATGGTCTTAACACTTCCCAGAGGAAAGAGGTTCTACAGTCCTTCTACAAGAAAGTCGTAGGTTCTTTCTTTTCCTCCAACATTGAGGGCAGTGCTTTAAGTGAGTGTTTTACTATTTCTGCCTGAGTGATAAAATAATTGATGTGTATTATTTACCCTCAAAATCTGGAAAGAAAATGAAATGAAGTACAATTTCACAGATTCTTAGATAAATATATATTTAGACTTTATTAGCTCACCTGGTCCGAAGGACCAAGGTGAGCTTATGCCATACCGTGGCGTCCGTCATCCGTACGTACGTCCGTCCGTACGTCAACAATTTCCTTAAACAACTTCTTCTTCTTAACCACTGTTTGGAATTAAACTAAATTTGACCGGAAGCATCCCTAGGTGGTGGGGATTCAAAATTGTACAAATAATGGGGCTGACCCCCCAGGGGGCTGAGGGGCGGGGCCAAAAGGGGTCAATTTGCTCATATTGCTTTAAGCGACTTCTTCTCTGGAACTAAGAAGTGGATATCAACCATATTTGACTGGAAGCATCCCTAGGTGGTGG